GATAGATAGATAGATAGATAGATAGATAGATAGATAGATAGATAGATAGATAGATAGATAGATAGATAGATTTTCTTTGTGGCAGAGGATAGAAGAAGATAGAAGGACAAGAAGGGAAGAACCTCAGAGTTTCAGACTTCCAAGCAGAAGAAAGCAGAGCAAAAACAAAGGAGTCACTTACCTTTGCACTTTTCTTCTAGAGACCAACAGGATGAAAAGTGCAAAGAGTTTTTGCTTCTGGCATTTCATTGCCAACAAAAGTGTTCTCAACCTACTTCCTCCTCAGACTGCTGTCAGAATGTTTGTATGATCCATAATTTTCTTAGAAAATGCTGTATGCCAACTGGTTGTTTTCTTGAGTTGGTACTTTTTAATCCTCTTTACTGCCACATCTAATTAATGAGCGGAGTCCTGTTATACTTTGTGAAGCAAACCTATATGAGTGTTCGAAGGAGAAATTTCCTGACAGTTAGAACAATTAATCAGTGGAACAACCTGCCTCCAGAAGCTGTGAATGCTCCAGCACTGGAAGTTTTTAAGAAGAGACTGGACAGCCATTTGTCTGAAATGGTATAGGTTCTCCTGCTTGAGGAGGGGGCTGGACTAGAAGATTTCCAAGACCCCTTTCTATTCTATTCTATTCTATTCTATTCTATTCTATTCTATTCTATTCTATTCTATTCTATTCTATTCTATTCTATTCCCAAATTTTCTTCTAAATACTTTAATTCAAATGTTTTCCAACTTGGTGTTGCCCAGATAAATTGGACCAGTGTACTTCAGCAAGTGTCCAGTTTTCTGAGCAAAAACAAGGAGCTACCTAAATTGTGATTTCTATAATTTATCTTTCCTGTCAACTTAAGGTTGAGATGCCCATAGATAGCATTTACCCATTTTCACTTTTTTTTTTTAATCACAAAGTTTAGAAAGTTGCTTTTGAAAATGGAAAAAGACTCAGGATGTTAAGCTGTGCCATTATGTCTTCAAAAAAAACCCAAAGGAGAATATACAGTATCCCTGTCACAACAGCAAGATCTCACTTCTAGACCAGGGGTGTCAAACTCGCAACGTCACATGACGTATCGCAACATATCGCAACTTTTTTTTCCATTGCCAGAGCTGGGGTGGGCGCGGTTTAGGCATGACGCATCCGGCCTGGGGGCCCGCAGTTTGACACCCCTGTTCTAGACCAAGACACACAAGAAAACAAAAAAACAAAACAGAAACTGCATACACAAGGAATCAGAAAATCTTTCCAGCTTCCATTCATTCCTGACTCTCTCCAAAGAGTTAGCAACCAACCAACAAATGATTACAGTCACATTTAAAAGTATTGTTGCTTTCATAGTCAAAACAAGAACAATCAACATTTTGTATGATCCAAAACCTTGTTTTTGCTAAGTAATAAAGTTGCTGAGATACTGTGTCTGAGAGCAAATTTCAGGGTTATAAGATATATATGATCAAGAGAAAGGTTAGATAAAGTGCTCTTTATCTTTGCTTTCCCCAGTTCTTGGCAGGTGGGTAACCAATTTGTATGTTAAACAGAAAAACTCCTACATTTCTTATCCAGGTTTGATGAAAAATGATCAAGGCAATCCTCAGGAGAGAAAAAGAGAAGGGAGCGGGGAATGATTCTTTTACTCACCAGAGGAAAGATAGGTTTGGAATGAGGGGAAGAATGTAGCTAGAAAAAAGCAATCATGATTACAAATGAGCATCTGGGAGCTGTTGTCAAGAGACTTCACTAATACATACACAGGATCTTGTAGCTGATTCCAGCCAAAAATGACCATGTGTTCCTGCCTAGTATATTATGAAAGTATCAGTATAGCTCACTACTTTGAGTTATTTATAAAAATAATAATGTGGGATAATAATATATAAAATGAAAGGATGGAGTGAAGAAATTGGAATTCTCTGCTAGCAGGAAAACAATTTGACTAAGTAAAGCTGTCCTTACAACTGAGGTATGGGATCTGAATGTAAGAATCTAAATTGCCAATGATATAGTCATTATTTGGTTACAGCTGTTGCAAAGTGGATTCTATTGGGGATTTTAGCTTCAGATATACAAATGCCATTATATTGGAAGTTTTCTAATCTACCAGCCTAAACTCATATTCTTAAATTTTTAAAAAAACCCTTCTATTGGATCTACATGCTAGAATTAAATCTTTTTCCAGGAAAAAAAAACCCCATGCAAACTGTGCTTTGAGTTTCCTGGTTTAAAAAAATCCCTCAAACTTGTATACTGCTGTTTTTAGAAACCTGGGAAGTTTGTAACATTCTTTTTGTTCTTCCTTCCTTCAATAATATGCATTATGAACAAGTTTGGCTATCTGACTGGTCTCACTGATCACCTAATCCAGACTATTTATGAAGACAACTAGTTCAAAACTAAATTCTTGGCTGACCTCATTTTACATATGTTTCCATAGTGAAAATTGCCTGTGTACTTTTACTCTCTGTTTATTCTCAATTCACTTACTAGTTCATGAGAAGATTTATCCTACTATTATTCCCAAAGCTGCTTAGGAGTCTCTAACAAGTAACTTTGTGAAATACTTTCTAGAAATCTTTGATCATTCCTATATTACATTTCTTACTAGTGGGTTAGAATTACATCTGCAGAAATTATACTACTTCCTCTAGCATAGTTATGTTGGAAATAAATGCTGGGGACAAACTGAGGTTTATAGTGGTAATGGAACATATTATCCTAAATAGTCACACTGCTTTTGAGCTTTTTGTGTTTCTCTGCATTTTGAGTTTATGAAGATAATTGCAGGTTGATTTCAAATTCCTTTTTAGGATATAGGGATTGGAAACACAATAAACAGAAAAGTGCATTGTTCTGAATAATGTCACATCCTTATCCTGCCCTTTGGAAAAAATGGAAGCAATGATCAAGCAGACATGTGAAACACACAATAAGGAATTGTGTATTGAGCATATGTGCTGTATTTAAATTCAGTATTTTAGCATTCAGCACAGTTCTGTTCATTACAATCAAGAGAAAGAAAAATAAATGAGTGACTGAATGTACAGAATGCACACTCTGTTATTGAACTATGAATGCCCCCTTAGATAAATGTATGGGAAGAACATGATAGAGGTTTATATAACATAGTAAATGGCAGAATAAATAAGACCCAAGAATTGTCTTTGTTTCCTTCTTGTAATCCCAGTTGAACTTCCAGCAAATAGATCAGATCATCTTTTACTCAGTGGCATAATTCGTTAGAATGTTATGATGTGTGATGGATATTCTGAGTGCTTAAAATTGGACAGTGTCAGAGAAAAGGACAGCAGAATGAGCATCCAATGTAACTCTAAATGAAATATAATCTCCCCAACCGGATGCTCTTCAAATACGTTAGATTAAATATCTCAAAATTCGCTGCTAGCAATCTCTGGCTGGGAATTGCAAGTTTCTGACCAACCCATCCTATCAATTCAAGAATTCTGATAAACTATTTGAGAGGCGGGGTACTTCTGAATGCTAACTGGTGCGAAGGAAGAAAACAGAAAAGGACGGCTGTTGCCATTAAGTCCTCTACCCCTCGCAGGAGAAAAAGGAAAGCGGTTATTAACGAGATTAATAATAACTAACTCTTTCGTTTCGTGGAACGGGGAATTTGCAAGGAGTGTGTGTGTGTTGTATATCCCACACACACATACACACACACACCTCCCCCCGTGATCACCGATTGCATGTCCGAGGATGTCTATCAGGCTCAGGCGCTCTCTGCCTTTCGCAGCAGTACCGCCGCCTGCCTCTTATTCATGCAGTGGAGCAGGCGGGGTTGAAAAACAGGCCGTTGAAGCGAAGTATCCCGAGGCGGGCGGGGGTCTAGGAGACTGCCTTGGTCCAATGGCGTCTCAGCACTCGGCGCAAACGGCCAATGATGAGCCAAGAGGGCGGAGCTCACAAAGCGGTGGGAAGGCTGCAGGAGTTCAGAGCTGGCATTGCTTATCTAGCTTGGCTCGGGGTGAGCCAAGCTGGAGACGAGCGCGGCTCGCTTGGCTGGTTCGCTGTCCGTGGTACTGAAAGCGCGCTCACTGTTCAACTCCTGTCCTATCAGGGCCGCTGAATCGCGGCTCGAAGGCGTTGAGAGACGCTCCATGGAAGAGATGGAAGAGGAGCTCAAATGCCCGGTTTGCGGATCCTTCTACCGAGAACCTCTAATCCTACCCTGTTCACACAATCTGTGTCAGGCGTGTGCCCGAAACATCCTGGTGCAGACGCCAGAGACGGAGTCGCCTCAGAGCCGGCGTGCCTCAGGATCAGCTGGCTCCTCATCTGACTATGACTACCTGGACCTGGACAAGATGAGCCTGTACAGTGAGGCGGACAGCGGCTATGGCTCATATGGTGGCTTTGCCAGTGCACCTACTACACCATGTCAGAAGTCACCCAATGGTGTGCGTGTCTTCCCTCCAACTGTCCCTCCAGCTGCACATCTCCCACCGCTTTCAGCCACTGCCTCATTGGCACCGGTGCCACGCAATTCCTGCCTCACCTGCCCACAGTGCCATCGCAGCCTGATTCTGGATGAGCGGGGCCTTCGTGGTTTCCCCAAGAATCGTGTCTTGGAGGGTGTCATTGACCGTTACCAGCAAAGCAAAGCAGCTGCTCTGCGCTGTCAACTGTGTGAGAAGATACCCAAGGAGGCCACGGTCATGTGTGAACAGTGCGATGTCTTCTATTGTGACCCATGCCGGCTGCGCTGCCATCCACCACGGGGGCCCCTGGCTAAGCACCGTTTGGTCCCTCCAGCTCAGGGCCGGGTCAGCCGGAGGCTCAGCCCACGCAAGATCTCCACCTGCACTGACCATGAGCTAGAGAATCACAGCATGTACTGTGTGCAGTGCAAGATGCCTGTTTGTTACCAGTGTCTGGAGGAAGGCAAGCATTCCAGTCATGAGGTGAAGGCGCTGGGCGCCATGTGGAAACTACATAAGGTCAGTCCTGGGATGGGGGCACCGACTAATGAACAGAGCAAGTATGGTAGAATACCTTGGCAAGAGATGAAAATCCTCATTTCAGCCATTGCACTGGGTCCCTGTGATCTTTCTCCTAAGTATCCATTGATCTCTTTTCCTTCTTTCTTACAGCTGTCTTTCTTTCTCTTACTTTTTCTCTAAAACAATTTTATTCCAATCCTCCTGTTTTAGTGTGCCTTTTTTTACTTGTCCATAAATGTTTACTGGAGTACTGCTCCCATCATACTCAGCCAATGATGGAGTTGTAGCCCAGTAATGCCTAAAGGCATGCTGTGAAACATAACAACAATTCTGGTCTTCCTTCTATCAGCTCTTGATTTCTTCACCAATACTACAATCATAATCCTTCATGGCTAGATGACTTGTTCATCAATCCATTAGTCTATCTTTCTCTTCCATCTCTCTCCTCCCTGTTCCATATTTTAAGCATTTATGCAATGTGTAGTTTTTATTCTCATCGAAGAGCTGCTTCCTTACCTTTTCGTCATTTTCCCTCCCTTGATTTCCTCCATCTTATTCTTCCTCCTACCTCTAATGAGTCAGTCTCCCTATCTGTAAACAGATTTCACTTCCCAGTCTTTGAATCTCTTTGCTGGAATGCTAGTGGTCTATCCTGCCAACTAATGTATGTGTCCTGAGAATGCATCTTGATTTTGTATTCAAGAAACACCTGAGCTAGTGTGTCACATATTTTGCCCGGCCTGCCCATCTTCTTTGTTGGCTGCCATTCAAGTGTTTGCACCAAGATGCCTGCAGTAGCAAGCAATAAGATACTGGGGGGCTTGGTGGGGTGAGTTTTACACTGACGGGGAATGCAGCTGGGGGAGGAAGAGGGAAAAAAGCAGGGATGAGATTGCTGTATTTTTCCACTATCCTATGCTCATAGGATAGGATTAACTGGCCTTCCATTTCCTTTTAAATGTCCCTTTGTCCTCATTTAGGCAATGTTATCATGGACTTCACTACAGAATCTTTGTATAGCTAGAGGTTGCCAGGCAGATTGTAATCCCTGAAATGGGAAGAGCAGGGCTTCTACAATCACCTAACTCCTTTGTGCTAATATAATGGTAATGAGGACAGAGTTTATATTGCTTCAATGATGGCTGGATGATGCTAGAAAATGTTATAAGTCACTAGTGAAAAAAAATGGTCTGAATATAGAAAATGGCTCTTTCTATTTCCAAGTACGCAATGATGTGTGTTGTTTATAAATGGAGAGAAGGTATTTTGGACACAATTAAAGGAAGATTTTTCACCAGTATTAACTCTGAGTATTGAGCACTAACATAGATCCCAGGGTTTAGTCTGCCTCAGATTAATCTCTTAGTTGGCTAGCTGATGGGGAAAGGCCCTTGGAGAAAGGGGCACACAACTAAAATGAAACCTGTTGGGGGAGACTTTAAAGATAGCAGAATGTGTGAATGTGATGTAGAAGAAAGAGGCAGAAAGAAGTTGTATGAGAATAGATTTCTTCTTTGAATATGAATTGCTTCCTCTGCCACGAGGAAGGTGTGTTTGCCTATTTCAGTTTCTCCATTTTTAATTTTTCCATGTACCATATGTGAAATCTGATGTGTTGAATTTAAAAATTTCTCATCTTCCAAAAGAACATTTACACACATACAAAAACTACTTTGGGTGCACAGTTCTACTGACATATGCCTATTGTCCTAATGAATCTACCTTTTACAAATAACTTCACTAATAGAAATTTGTACATAATTCTCACAAATATATGGGGTTTTGTGTTGATTTCCCCTTTTATCATGGTGTAATTGGAGAATTTTGAATTTTGAATGATAACTAAATTTCAGGTTGTGCGTTGCTTTGAAAATATGGAATTAGATATGTTTGCATCTGATTTCTCCCTATCTCTACTTTGCTACTTGGTAATGCATTTTCTTCACAAACTGGGCTACATATTCATGACGTATTAGAAACAGGACCAATATGTGCAAAGCTGAAGTAGGGATATTCAGTTCATAGGGTAGCAACACATTAGCTTTTATAATGTGTTATGGATAACAATACAGTACAAGGTGTCCCAAAAGACAGTGCAGTTTTAAGCTTTAAAATCTGCACTAAGACTTTTGGGACACTGTATAATTCTTATGACTATACCAGGTAGAATTGTAGCTAAAGGATTCTATACCACATATTGTAATCCATATTTTTTTTTCTCAATGCCTCTACATTGAGCTTTTCTAAAGTGTATTTTTCTTTCTTTCTTTCTTTGTTTGAATTGAATTATCCCACAAAACATAAGTGAAGAGAGTGAAAAGGATGTAATTTTATTTCCCATTTAAATATCAATTTCTCCTTTCCACACTCTTGCCATCCATCCTATTTTTCACATAGGATCTGGCTATATGGCAGCAACCCCATTTCTGAGGTAACTAGGCAGAGATATGTGACTACAAAGAGGATGGATATCCTCTCATCCTACATATACCTATGGAACATGCAGGCATTTTTACCTACCCCTGTGTCCAGGTACAGAGATAGGATTGGTATTTGCAGTATTACATAGCTAGGATCTGGTGCAGGAGGTGACTGTCCAGTAGCCTCTGCTAAAATAAACAATACAACAAACCACAAACACTTCACAGAAGCTAACCCAGATGAAAACCAAATAGACTTCAATTGTATCACTGAAGCCAAACCACTATCTTAGCTTATTCATCACACTTTGAAGACACCCCTGAAGATACCATAATTTGTTTAAGATACCTTGGTATAGCCAAAGGTGACTGGATTGAAACCATGAATTAACTTGTCAGACACCTGCCAAAGTCTCCCCTGCTAACCTTTGGTCTCCTAGTCTGGCTGCCGGTTCTCATTTTTACTCTTTATGCAAGCATTGTGAAGAGTCAAGCAGAGTCCTCCAGTGGTCTTGTACTCTGTTTCTGAGTAATTATTTTAGACCAGTGTTATTCAGCCTCAACAACTTTAAGATCTGTGGACTTCAACTCCCAGAATTCCCCAGCCATTGATGCTGGCTGGGGATTTCTGGGAGTTGAAGTCTACAGATTTTAAAGTTGCTGAGGTGGAGAAATATTGTTTTAAATTAAGGCTGAAAGGAGAGGGTAAATAAGTGGGTAGAAATGAAGAGGAAAAGAAAAAAAACATGTGAAGAAGTAGAGTCTGAGAGCATCTCACTAGGGCCCCATAAAATTGGAAATTGCTAATGGAGAGGAAAAATTAACTTTTCAACTACTTTTTTTTACTTCCAATTGGTTCTGCCCATTAGGATATAATGTAAAAAGCCCTTTGTGGCCCTTTGTGGCCTCTGGCCAATAATCTTTTCCTGTCACAACAGCAGCCTAAGGCTGACCTTTGTAGATAGATTGACATCATTTCATGTCAGGGGCCTGCTAACATGCTTTAACCATGGGAAATAGCTTCACAGCCAGCACAGGAACAAAGCTCTGTTTGTCTTGGAGAAGGACAATGTTTACTGTTCAGGCAAGCAGAAGGAAAGAATTCCTCATAATTTATATCTGTCAACTGCTTACACAAGTGACAATAGTTTAAACTATACCTGGAGCCTCAGTGCAATTTCAATAACCTTTTATTTTATTCATGTACTAATTTTCTTTCGTATTTCTAAGCCCAAAGGCTTCTGGGCAGAAAACAATAGAATAAAAAAAGAACATTTTTTTAACAGATATCACCTAATCCCATAGACTTCTCATTCCTATTAAAAACCATTGTGGTGCCCCAATCAATTGGACTTCCAGCACAATGAAATAAGTTTTAGCCTGCTTATAAAAATGTGTGGGCTACTATGACAAGATCTGCCATTCGGTTACCCCCATATAATCTGGAGCAGACTTTCAACAGACTCTCTTGTGATGACTAAACTGGGCCTATAAACTCTATTCTGGCAAGGTGCTGCTTGCTATATCTTCGTCCTCTGCTATGTAAGGCTTTAAAGATAATGTCTAGACCAGGGGTCTTCAAACTTGGCCCTTTTATGACTTGTGGACTTCAACTCCCAGAATTCCTCAGCCAGTGTGCCTGGCTGAGGAATTCTGGGAGTTGAAGTCCACAAGTCATAAAAGGGCCAGGTTTGAAGACCCCTGGTCTTGAACTTCAAATTGGGTTCAAAGTCTACTGCTAATCAGTGTTATGAGTCTAAAATAGACGTTATTCTGCACTGGTGAGATTGTCTTACCAGGATTCTGATTACTGTGCTTTGCCTCAGCTATAGTTCTGGGTTATCTACAAAGGGAGCCCCACATAGATTGTATTGCAGTAGTCCAGCAAGTGATGATAAAGGCATGAATTATGGCAGGGGTCTTCAAACTTGGCCCTTTTATGACTTGTGGACTTCAACTCCCAGAATTCCTGAGCCAGCACAGGAAGTCCACAAGTCATAAAAGGGCCAAGTTTGAAGACTCCTGAATTATGGACACCAAAGCATCTGCTACAGGTATGGCTATAATTGGTACACCAACCACCTGAGTGAAGCACCCCCTCTCCAAAATGTCACTTACTTGAGCTCAAGTGTAATTATTCCTTCCTTTTTTTTATTCCCATAGCTTAATTTCAAGTGCTTTTAAAGTCAGCTAAGAAATATTAGTCACAAAAGAAATGAAGCTGCAGTTTAACACACATATACACATTGGTCCATAATCCAGGCTAGTGTCAATAGTAATAGGTGGCAACATCTACTCCTTGGCTGATCCTAGAAAATGTGGAATCCCCAAGGCTGTAGGCAAGGAGGTTTCAAAGAAAACATCCTCAAAGGAAGGCAGTACTTGCACTGTTATTAAACAACAGCCCGACATGGATGTATCTACGGAATTATGTCAACCCTTCAAGTTAAGCCAGACTTGAACATCAAAAACATGAATACTAAAACTACTTTTACTGTAGGATTGCCACCCTACAAGAATATTAAGGAGGATCAAGTCTGAAATGCTTTCTCCATTCTCATTCTAGCTTTGGCCTCA